AATGCAAGTGAAGAACCTGAACACTTCCATTACTTGAGCGTCTAATCCCACGAAAACGGTTCGCATTGCTAACAATGCTGTTTGGAGGGGACAAACTTCAACAAATAAATTCAAGCACTCATTGACATGATGCTATGATAAAAAAATTACAACTAGGTTTGTACGTTAAGAAGGGAAAAGAAATGCTGTCCTCTGATTGCATCACGGATGCAGGAAATGGCCATTCTTAGAATTACACCATGGTAACTAACCTAAATGCAGTGGGAAATGGAAAATGAGTAGACATGTTGTCGATGTAATTAAAGGAGACTTTTATTTACGCAAGTTGTGCAAAACGTGGCGACGCTTTTGAAAGCAGACAGGGCCAGAAGTCTCAAAGACGACATCAACTTGACAAATTAGCTTTGGTGCGCCAAATTCGACGAATAATGAGACAGAAATAATAGTAAGACAGATTGTAAGTGGTGACGAAAAAGTGCATCACACATAGTCAAGATTTTGGCAAAGTTAAATCTTAGTATTGGTAATACCAGTGTTGGTGAATAATCTTGATCCATACGACAAGGAAATAAAGGTTGGCAGCCGATTGCTAACCTTATTTTTAACGAAGAAGCAGTGGCAGATTGCACAGGACCACCAGCGAAACCAGAATTCTTCCAACTAATTCGCTGGGACGGCAGAACTGGGGAAGGATTTGCTGCTGGATGGTAGCCGAGGCCTGCATTCTGAAGCCACGCCACCTGTTGTTCTTGCTGCTGGCGTCGAAAATTCGCAGCAGCCGCCAATGCAGCCATCAGTTGACGGTTGGGGAACTCAGAGAACTGAGTGCTGCCTATATTTGCCACTGGCGGCGTTGGAACAGCAAGCAATGAGGCTGTAGCGGCTGCAGCAGCAGCTGCTAAACTAGTGGCATCAAGCTGGGCCAGCGGAGTGGCCGGAGGGAGAAGGCTAGCCAAAAGACGAGTGGAGCTGGGACAGCTGGCAAATTTGACTGTGATCGGCTCGCTACTGCCAGGAATTCGGTAACCGTTCAACTCCAGGATTGCGGCCTCGGCCTCAGAACGTTGGTCAAAGCGAATGAAGCCTACTCCCTTCGATGAGCCTTGCACAAGTGTAGTTCGATGCAATAAATAGGGAACAAGCATTAAAAAACTATTTGAGAATCAAATCACGGCAATCAACTGCACTAAATCCCATCGTAAGAGTTCTTATCATCGTGCCATATTCGAATTACCCTAAATGTTGTTTACCACTTTAACAACTGAAATTATTTTGGCATTGAACGGGGTGTAAGTGCTTGGGTGCATTTAATAATCGGCATAGCCTGAACAGCCACCACAACACAATGTCGGACGTGGCGAAATTGTTTATTCCAAGGGATGAACCAAGATGACCGAATTCGGGTCACCTCGGAAATAGTTAAACAATTGTTAAACACCTTTTTTAGCATTCAAAGCCTATTTTACGTTGCAAGTAATGAGGCTCTGTAGAGAAACTGCCGACTCACAAAGGCGTTTTCCAACGCATGTCTAATCCCTCCCGAGGGCACAAAATATCTTAACACACTTTGCTGTTTCAAAGTTAGTTCTGCGTAATTTCATTCATAGCTTGTAATTACTCATCAATATCATAGGTGGACATTGCGAAAGCAGTTATGTAGATCCCCTAGAGGCGCTGTTATTGTACATTTGGTGGCCTCAGAGACCTACTCTGGTAGAACCAGTCCCATCGTGCATGAACAATGCGCATTTTACCTAGGCTAGTCTCGAGGGACTATGTTAATGGCGGCGAAAAGCGAACTCTACGCTAAGGAGCAACTTCGCTTATGGTAGACCTTAGCGGGGTGGAAGAATTGCGTATGATACAGACAGTAGAATTTGTTACAACTCTTGGTAGAAAGTCTGGAAACGACGTATCTTTATCAGGAATGCGACTAGAAAATGAGACCCGCCCCGCCATCATACCTCAGACATGCAGCTCGGCTTGAAAATTAAGTCGGCAGCCTTTCAGGTCGTCCGTACATCGACAACTGCGTCTTAGTACACCTATAGGGGAGTTTTTA